GCAATTCAAAATCTCAGTGTTATTTTAAGTGTCTTTATGAGATGCAAGGTTTCTGTAAATGCTAACTGGGGGTGGCAGTTGAGGCAAGAATTGGGAGCAATACATGTTTATGTGTCTGGATAGATTAATCTGCATGTGAAATCCCAGTGAAATTGACATGAAATAAAAATTTCATGCCTTCCAGTGTGCCGGGATTGTCCATGAAATGAGATTAAAAGAAATTTCTGACTTTACAGTGGTCATGCTTTTTAAATTGCTTTTTTTCTCTTCTGAAGTGTTGATCTTCAACCCAGGGGCCAGCCACAGCTGTGGCATTGCGTGCTTTTTGTTTGCTCATTGGCTGGCTTATCTCGCTTTTTCTCCTAACTGAGTGGAGACTTCTTACCTCATACAGTTCCAAAACCAAAATCTATAATTCTAAAAACCAATAGCAAGCTCACTGGCCCCTGTCCTGAAAGACCTGGCATTCTGGGTCAAGAGCTTTTCCATTCTTTTCCATTCTTGCTCACACATGGTTGGTTTGGGCGGTGCTGGTGGTGAAGGAGCTGGCAGGCAGATGATGAGGCTGTCCCTGAAGTCTCCTCTGGGCTGATGGGGTGGCGGGAGTGAGCAACAGAGAAGGGGAAGGAGGTGCACCTGCATACAGGATCCACAGACTGCCACTTTCTGCTGCGTGTGCTCCAGGAAGTTAGTCCCACTCTCACTTTCTGTTACTTAGGCCCAAGTTCTTTTTGCCTTTCTGGCCTTGAAGTTTGAAGCGGTGGAATGTGGCAGGAAGACAAAGCCGTCCACTCATCTGCCTGGGTCTGACATCCACCATATGCTTTGGAACTGCAGAGATTGGAAGGAAAACCCAATTCCTGTTTGGGTCAGTGTAGTTCTCTGTTCTGAAACAATGTCTGTGAATCCTTGGCCTGGCTACCCCCAAAGCCTTGTGGAGGTTGCTTGAGCCCCCACCCTCTTTGGCTTTAATGGGCAGCTTGTAGGAGCCCCACGGGGTGTTCCTGTGGAGGCACAGCCAGCAGTATCCCCTCCGGCTCCATAGGCTCCCTCCATGGCACTGATTAATAACAGCTGGTTTCTGGCTCTTGGGAGAAGCTACTTCTTGGGGTGGCAATTGGAGTGTGGGCACCTGGGTGCATTTGATGTGCATGGGCACAGGAGACATAAGTGTGACAGCTGCAACATGCTGGCACCATGAGTGGCCAGTGTGACTAGACTCAAACCCCCCTGCTAGCTGGGGTGAGCTACTTAGCCTCCCGGCACCTCTGTCCTCATGCTCCTTGTTAATAAATCCATAAGACAGAGACTCCCTCATAAAGTTATTGTATTAAATCCGTGAGATGCAGAGTAGGCAGGCCCTCAGCACAGGGGGGAGATGGCTCTGGGGAGGGCCTGGCTCTGTTTCCAGTCCAGCATCATGAACATGGGCATCTGGAGAGGCAGCAGGTGACAGCTCAGCTGCTTAGCACCCATGGCACCATGTCGGAGAGACCAGATGGAGTTTTAGACTCCTGGCTTTGGCCTGGCCCATCCCTCACTGTTACAGGCATTTGGGGAGTGAACCAGCAGGTGAACTATCTCTCTGTTTCTCTGTCTTTTGAATGAAATGAAAAATGTGTTAGATGCTGTGTGCTACACCATAAGCAGTATTTGAAACACATGCCACAAGGTGGATATTGCCAGTAGCACACACCCCAAGGATTAAGGCTTATAGCAGGGAAATCACTGCCAAGCTCTCAAACTAAGGGATACTCTGATGCGTGCCACAGTTTACCTTCTCTGTAGAGTGGCAGTTCTCACAGGTGTTGGAAGAGTCCGTTGAGGCAAGGAGTGGGTCCCAGCTTTCTAAACTGCATGGAAGGTGGGGGAAGACTCCATGGAGTCCTGTGAACCTGTTTGGTGTGTGGCACTCCTGCTCCCCAGTTCCCTGTGGTCTGCCTACCCTAGGCTTGTGCCTGCTGGAGGAGCTGATCACTTCCTGCCCAGCACAGGGAGCTGGAGGGGCTCTAAGGTCAGAGAGCAAAGCAACCCATGCCTGCCCAGGACAGGGGGCTGAATTAGGTCATCTCTAAGGTTCCTTCCTTCTCTACACTGTGAGCTTGTGCTTCTAGGATGCAAGTGTTCTCCAGTTGTGATGATGACTCTACCTGCCATTTTGCTTAGCTTCTGTTAAACCCTGTGTGCCCTGTGTACATTGTCTGCAGCTGCACTAGCTTGGGAGGTGGGTATTTGACAGGTGGCAACACTGAGATAAACCACTTGCCCAAGGGCACACAGCGTCCCAGGGCCTATGTTCCTTTCACTCATGCGGATGCCACATCCTCTGACCCCTTCCTCCTCTGGGTACTCCTTGCCTCTCATCTGCTGCAGACACAGGGCCGAACCACCTGCTGCTGAAGTCCTGTTCCAGACCTGGCTCCTGCTGACAGGCAGATTTACCCACACATGTGGGCTGATGGCCAGCAACCCTGATACTGTTTTTCAAGTAGCTTTATTCCCCAGATCTCAGACTGATAGGTGGTGTCCAGAATGCTCCTAGAAGGCCCCTGTGGCCTTCCATACCTGTTCTGCCTCTCTTCCTGACTCTGCCTCACCCAGGAAATCTAGCCCCACCTCTCCATGAAGCCTCCTGCACACTGCAGGCACAGCTGTGCCCCTGTGCACACTGTATGTGTGTGTGTGTGTGTGTGTGTGTGTGTGTGTGTGTGTGTGTGTGTGTGTGCGCACATACTGCTATGTCTCTATACGCACTGGCCTTCCCAGCTGACACCTTGCAATGCAGAACAGTGGCCCTGACGGAAACTCTCTAAGTGAGCTAGGTTTTGGGGTCCCAATGTCTCCCATGAGGTAGGAAAGAAAGTTAGCTTTAGAGGTATCCTGGCAGTGGTACCTTCTGGGCAGCCCCACTTTGACTGCCTTCAGCTCTGTCTCATTTCTGTGGCTGGCAGCTTGGTACCAGCTGTGGTCTGATGATTGCCATTCCTGTCCATAGAGATGTGTTTCCACAGTGCTGTTTGAGCATCCTCACAGCATGGCGGCTGGCTTCCCTCCAGGTGTCCCAGGAGGAGCCTGCAGTACTTTGTGGGGAAGTCAGACTCTTCTAAGTGTCGTCAGGAATGTAATCTGTCCTGAGTCAGTGAGGGAGGCAACTGCAGAAGACATGATGATTAGTCATTCGGAGTGTTGGGAGGGTGGCTGCCATACTCCTTAGGAATAAGACAGGTTAAGCCTCTGGCTGCCCTGGAAATGTTTACCTGACTCTCTTACTACTTTTATGTGAGTATCTATTATGCTTAAATCCTGACCTAGGACAGAGGAGATGGACAAAGCTATAGGACCTTTCCTGAGGCATCTTGCCGCCAAGTCGGGGAAACCTTCTCATGAGGAAATGTTAGAAAAGAGATCTGGACACAGTCACAGGAGAACCAAGGGCAGAGCACCAGCCTCCAAGCAGAAGGGTGTTTGCTGTGGGTTTTGAGGGACGTGAAGGAGCTCCTCAAGTGGAAAAGGAGGAAGGTCATTGCTTCATACAGAAGTGACTGCACGAGCACTAGCTGAGTCGCTGCAACACATGACTGGTGATGATGGGTCGCAAAGCTGGTGACAATGTCTTGGACTATGTGCATCAGGAGCCATGTGGGAGGCTCTGAGCCACAGGAAGAGCTGGTAGTACTCCGTGGCAGCCAATACTGGGCAAGCAGCCTATGTGGTAATCAGGAGGAGGAGGAAAGACCACCTGATCTGGGGCCACAGAAGGAGGTCAGGAGGGAACTGGTGGTGGCTCTGTGAGATGCAGGGGACAGGCCCGTGAGTCTTGTCCACCATCTCCCCCACCTTCCGTACCTTGTAGCTTCTGATCTGAGCGCTCCTGGATGTCTCCTCCTGGGGAAAAAAATGTTGCAGGGAGGATTGCCAGGCCCCTAGGCCTGGGTCTGAGGCCTCAAGTGCTTTGGGCTATAGACTACCTGGAGGATGGAGTGACAGCTGTGAGCTGTCTTCCCAGGGGGAGAAACTGATTGCACAGTCCCCCAGTAATTCACAACCCCCTTGAATCCTATCACTGGGTCACTGGACCCCAAATTAAAAGCTCCAAACCTGGAAAGAAATGGAGGAAAATAAAAAGAGCAAGCATTTACACCCCCTCCCCAACATCTATTATTTACCTCCTCTTTAATGCCTCCCCCTCTCACCCCCGCATAATAGGACAAGCTGTAAAACTGCGAGGAACAGGAGGAAGCATTTACCCAGCCATCGCCCTCCGAAGCACCAGCATCACTAGGCGGGTTTATTTCCATTATTATAGTAATTTGGGGGCTGCAGGCTACAATTTTCACTTGCAGCGAGGTATTAAATTGAAATTACCCCAGATGTAATTGTCATGCAAAATGATCCTGGACATGGTGGAAATGAATGGTTTTTCAAGACAGGATTTCCACTGCCTACATGGGTGCATTCTGGCTCTCACCCCTTTGGAGGGGTGTGTGTGTGTGTGTGTGTGTGTGTGTGTGTGTGTGTGTGTGTGTGCATGCGTGCACACACATGCACCAGGGGCCAAGGATCAGTGTGACATGGCACTCTTGAGCTGTTGTCTCAGGACCTGGCAAGGCCTCTGCAGGCTGGGATCTTCTATGGACCCATAGCATGGACAGAGGGGCCTGGAAAGGTATGGACTAGAGAGCATAGCCCAAGGCACGAAGTTGGGTTTATGCGCTCACAGAAGCCACTTTGCACTCATGCAGGCAGGCAAGAAATACTTTATTCATGTTCTGTGTGTCAACTGCAAGTCCAAGCTCTGCCCAGGGAAGGTGGCAGGGGAGCATTCAGCTTCAGTCATCCATGGTGCTCCCCTGACCCTCTGAGGGTCAGAGAGACTGGGTAATTACCCAGTGCTAAGCGTATGTCCATACTGGTAACCGCCAAGATGGCCACGGGGCCAGCCTTGCAGATGTGTTCTGCTTTGCCCAGGTCTTACTGCCTTCCGCCTTTCCTCCCCGCAGATGCAGACTGCTAATGTATTGCAAGGATCTTCCACCCACCAGCATCATCATCACCTTCCACAATGAGGCCCGCTCCACACTGCTCAGAACCATCCGCAGGTAAGGCAGCATTCTGGGGAGGGCCTCATCCAAGTGCTTGGCAAATACTGCACTTACCAAGCTCTGGGACTGGCCAGTGGAACATCAGGCTCTCCTATCTCATGCTGTCCACTGCTAAGCACAACACATATGTCTGCTTGGCCACCTGTTGCACTCCTGGGAGAGAGTTCTTACCCCCATTTTATAGGGAGGAAGAAAGAGACCAGGGCATGCAAGAACTTCCACAAGTTCACAGAGTGTGAAGAGAGGACAATCCCTGAGCACCTGCCCTCCACCACTGCTCAACTGCCCCTGAGTGTTACTAATCACAGGTGACAGGGACCCATGGCAGCACGAGGCTGGGATTTGAACTCGGGCCTGTGTTGCAGCCCAGCCCAGCCCAGCCCCTTCCCCTGCACAGCCTCCCACTCCAACCACAAGTGACAATAACATAAAGCTCCCACAGTCTAGCATGGTCACTAACACTTGCCCATCCTCAGCACTTGGTCTGGACCATATACCCTGCTGTGTGGCTTGTGACATGCATAGGATTTTTAATTCACACAAGTCACCTGCCACCAGAACTGCCTCTAGGATGTAGTGATTCAGCCGAGAATTCCACGTCCCCCCTGCCCCAGCCTTCCAGCAAAGGCCCTGGTCATCTTGGTTGTTTTCTGCCCATGCTGTGTCCCTTCCTTGCCCTGTGCCCACACCAGCCCTGCCCTCATCATGTGCTCAGCAGAATCCACACTATGCATGGCAGTGGGGCAGCCAGCAGTCCTTGAATCCCCCCTGCATGGCTGGTCATTGCCATGCTCACATTACAGCTAAGGAAATCCAGACTCGATAGTCATTAAATCATGCAGCCACATGGCTAATGATAGAAAAGCCAGATGTTAACTCTTCGCGCCTCTGACCTTACGCCCCTCTCTTCTAGTAGATTGTGTAGGTAGAGGGCAAGCCCAGTGCCAATGAGCATCCCAGGGAAGGTGTTGGGGCCAGGTGTACACAAAGTCATACCCTCTCACAGAGCCAGAACCTGGCTCCAAGGGAAGGAACCTCAGTACACTCCTTGTCCCCCAGCTGGGGCTTCTTAGTGTCCATCCTGATCTGCTTGGCCACATCACACCAGAGACAAAAAGTTGGCTCAATGGGCCAAAGTGAGTATACCAAGCCTGGTCACACTCCTGTCGTTTCCTTCACACCAGCTCTGCTTTCCCCTCTGCCTCTTTGTCCCTGCATAGCCAGGGTGGTAGAAAGCTCCAGGTGCTAAGAAGTAAGTATAGCATGAGGGTTGCTGAGATCCTCAGCTCCTTGTGGCACTAATGCTGCCAGTCCACTGTGCAGGGCTAGCACTGCTCTGAGAAACACAGGCACCTGCCCAGACCCACAGTTGTCAGCTTACTGCCACCTGTCCAAGCATGAGGCTCTGATGTCCTTGGCACCTGGTGAGCTGGCTCCTTCCACCAGCTGTCAGCCTGTCCTGGCTTCTACATCCACCCTGCAGGTTGCCTGATCCAAGTTGGCCTTCCCAACAAAGCAGCAGCCCTTGGCAAGCACATGTGCCAAACTGCTGTCAGGTGTCACCCTGGGTCTTGCTGCAGATGAATAAAGGACTTGTTGATTTGTAAGCTAGCAAGGGTGTGGTGGAAGGCAAGATTCTGCTCTACTCAATCCCCTCTACAAGGGGAGGACAGAGTTTCTGGGCTGAACAGGCACATGGCAGAGCAGGTATGTGGTTCTGAGGGCTCAGGCCATCACCATCTGCCTGAACACCAGGGCAGGCTTATGAAGACAAAAAAAAAAAATGGCAGCCCTTGCCTTCCCTGTTCCTGGGTGCTCCTCCCCATGGCGCATCTGCATGTCTGGCAGATGTTTCTGTGAAGAGACTGTTCATGCTTGAGATGGGCTCCTCAACATGTCAGGCTGGCCTCTTGTGATCCCTCAAAGAAGTTCTGAGACAGCAGGCACCTTTAGTCTGAGCACAAACACACACATGTGTTCACACATGCACAGGCATGCACACACTGAGCCATCGGGTCTGCTCATCACCTCTGCTGCCCGTACTGTGTCTCCCTTGTTTGCACTCTTTAGTGAGTTCCCTTTGATCTGATGCTTCTGTTGCCTAACTTCCCCATGACTCTGTTTATTTAGTTTTATTATACAATTCCATAGGCTCTGGGATTTCCCTTACCCCTCCTTCGCACTGATTTTCCCTGTATTATTACAATAATAGTCCTTCATAAGCAGTCTTAAGCCCATCATTCTGTTATTTGTGTATCCTGACATTGTGAGTACAGACAATGGCAGAGTCCAGTATCCTATTGTCAAGAATATTTACCAGTTTCATTGGGAGTCCATCTCTGGATTTGGAAGTAGAGATGCATACTGTACTGTATCCTCACATCTGGATATGATAGTCCCTACTATACAGTTACTATACATCCTCTTAAATGAAAAGCCATAAAACAGAATCAATAACAGGAAGAAAGTTATGGCTCAGTTTCTGACCAGGGTTGTGGGGATGCTAATGGTACTTTGAGACAGGCTAGCCAAGGATTCATTCAGCGAAGGGACCGAGAGGTGTGTCTAACCCAGAGTAAGCCCTCATCTCCACGGCTCTGGAGGGGAGGCTAGTGGCTGCATCCAATACTGCACTTGGAACCCAAGTTCAGGCCCTGCCCTGCCACTTCCTGATCCTGTGACCTTGGGCAGCAGATCAACCGCGTCTGCAGAAACAGGGATAAAAGGCACCTTTTGTGCTTTGAATTCTATCATTTTTCTTCCAAAAACCTTCTTCTTGGAAAGGTGGCAGGCATTCTGGGGGCATTAAACTATTATGGCAGAACTCCTAGGTTAACCCGGGTATGTCCCACGCTGAGTTTGTGTTCTCAGCTGCTACCTTCTGATAACCTTCTCCTTCTGCTGCTCCTCCATCTGTCCACAGTGATAATGCCACTTGCTCAGCATGCTAAGATGCTAACTTCCCATGAGCATGTGCTATGGGCCACAGAACTCTGGTCTCCTGTTGTGTCAGCATGAGCCTCAGCCTGAATTGGGCAAGGAGAAATGTGTGGAGGGAAAGGAGGCTGGGAAGCAGAGGAGCCAGACCCTGGAGTCTTCCTGACTTCCTGGGTTGCAACCAGAGCCCCACTGTCCACCAGCCTAGTGGAGGGACCATCCCTGGGGCCTGTGCACTCTGTACGGCCACAGCACCATGGTGCCATGAAGGGCCACACCTCTTAGCCAGGAGAGCAGGTGCCTCGTGTCCTGCTTCACAGGAGCTGTGAACATGAACAGGCAGGCACGGACATCCCTCCCTCAGCTTACTTCAAAGCAGAAGTTACCATTAAGAATTTTCTGACATGCCCAAGGAGATGTTTAGAGCAGTGTCTGGCACACAAGGTGCTTACACAGCTGTGCCCAGTAGCCTTCATCCCTGACTTATGGCAGCATCTAAGGTACCACCCTCCAGCTGGAGCAGCCTCCTCCTGAGGGTTTGTTGTGCATGGTTTCTTTTTTTTCCCCCATGAGTTATTTGTTTTTATTGGAAAGGCAAATATATACAGAGAGAAGGAAAAACAGAGAGGAAGATCTTCTGTTTGATGGTTCACTCCCCAAGTGGCCGCAACGGCTAGAGCTGATCTGATCTGAAGCCAGAAGTCAGGAGCTTCTTCTAGGTCTTCCACATGGATGCAGGGTCCCAAGGCTTTGGACCTTCCTTGACTACTTTCCCAGGCCACAAGCAAGGAGCTGAATGGGAAGCGGAGCCTCTGGGATTAGAACTGTCATCCATGTGGGATCCTGGTGCATTCAAGGCAAGGACTTTAGCCACTAGGCTATTGCGCTGGGCCTGTATGTGATTTTTTACGCCCCTTCTCGAGCGACTCCAGTTCAGCAAGTCTGCATCAAGCCCAATTATTTGTGTCTCAAACAAATCCCCAGGTGGTGGTGAGGCTGCTAACTCAGGGACCACAAGTTGAGAAACATAGCTGTAAGGCCTGCCTGTTGCTATTATGAGCCTCCATGAATGACCTGTTCCCATGGCCAGAGAGTAGCTGCTGTGTGCCAGGTATGGTGCCAAACTCCTTTCACATAGCTGAGGAAGGCAGAGCATCAAAGGCTGCGTTCTCCCCAAAGCCCTCCCAGGTGGCACAAGGCAGCTACCCAGATACCGTACTTGAGCCCAGGGTGATCAGTTGCACTCCAGAACAACAGCAGTCAGCTGTCAGGTGGCCTCAGGTCTTCATTCAGCTGGTGTTTATGGAGCATTTGATAAAACCAGCCCTGCCTATAACACCGTGGAGTTCACGAAGCAATTTCAGATACATTTCCTCATTTCAGCCGCACAAAAGCCCGCAAAGTAGGTCAAGTATTAATATCGCTCGCTTTTACAAGGGAAATGTAATTACAGAAGGACAGGGAAGCTGGGAGCAGAGCAAAGCCTCTCTCAGGATTTCACAGTGCTTGCATGGTGGGGGGCCTGCCAGCCTCTGCTGCCTCTCTGGGAACTCCGTGTGGACCCCACAGGCAGAGGGCAGCAGGGACATAACAGACGGAGGACAGTCGTGTCAGCAGGAGCAGGTGCAGCTGCCCGCCTGGCAAGGAGGTGAGCTTTGTATGGGAGACTCAGATGTCACATGATTCTAGGCAGAGTGTGGCACGTCTATGCCAGTGAAGCAAGTGCCTACTTCCAGGTGAAGCCCAGTATGGAAAGGTTTGGGGCAGCTGGAAGAGAGGAGGAGGCAAAGAAGTACATTCCCTATGCAAGGGGCAGGGTGCTGTGCTGGGGTTGGGTGGGGAGGGCAGAGGGGTATTCCAGTAGAACAGGGGGAGCAGCCAGGCAGAGATGATGGGACTGAGACAGGATGTGCAGAAGGAAGGGCTCGGTAGATGCCTGCCCTGGCCCAGTCCCTTTCCCTCCCAGCCACCCTGTGCCCGCCCAGCCTCCCTGTACACTCCCAGCCGCCCTGTGCACTCCCAGCCGCCTTGTGCACTCCCAGCCGCCCTGTGCACTCCTAGCCCCAAGCCCCTGTTGAGGAGCCCCTGCCATCGCTTCAATTGTTCTGATGAGAGGAGCGCAAACAAGCCAGGTGTTACCAGGAAATGGTCTAATTAGCACGTACTGCTGACGATTCCCCCCCCCGCCCCCCGCTTTCTTTCTTTCTGTTTTAAATCGTGGACATTTTTTATTCGCTAATCATCTCAGTTCAGTCAGCACACAGAGCTGCGCACGATTTACCTTTTGATGTTCACAGAAGAGAACTCTTGAATTTCAAAGAGCCGGCGGGGATTTAAGGGGGGATCGAATGCAGAAGCTCCAGCGTAATCAAACCTCATTAGAGGTTATTCTTCCCACAGGCTTCCCCTCTCTCCTGCTGCTGGCTTCCCCGCCCTCACTGATTGGAGGGCTGGTGGATGAGTTCACCGTTTTCTTTGGGACAGATGCGTGCGCCTTCACCTTCCACCTCTCTCTGGTGGAATGCTGCAGCCTCTGTGCCTTTTTTGTCCCCCTGGTCCCCACAGGCAGTGACAGTGGCTCAGGGCTCTTGGCTGGGATTCCTCTCCACCTTACACTAGTTGCCATGGTGAGAATTAAGGCTTCATAAATAAAGGCATCTCCAGGCAAAGTGCCCTTCTAGGAGAGTCTTCAAGCTGCTTGGAAAGAGTTCAGGAGACAGTGGACGCTCCAGGCTGACCCCTGCACCTCTCTCCCACTGCCTCCACCTGCACCCCTTCTGAACATTCTCTCCCACGTAATCAAGGTTCAAGGTGGCCTGAATGCCCCAGAAATGTTTCTGAGCCGCTGTGGAGTTTGAGAGTGTTTCCAAGAGTGAGATTTGGTCATTGCCGTAAGACCTGAGAGCCTGAATCAACCTTGAAGCTCAGTTGTGTCCCTTGACCAGGGATCCACAGCATAGGCAGAGTGCCTGGCTTCAGTGCAGTTCAGTTCAAAAGTAAAATCACTGATGAGGCACAAAATAGCCATACTCACTGCCAAGTGTTATGCTAACTGCATTGGGTGCATTTCCTCCTTTTATTCTCTTACAGCCCTGGAAAGTGGGTAAAAAATTGTTAGCTGCACTTTGTAGATGAGGTTAGATTGCTGCCCAGAGCAGTGAAGTAACTTGCCTGAGCCTGCACAGCTGGTAGTTGGTAGCTGGGGGCAGAACACACTTCATCCTTGTTCATTACTACATATCCACAGCAGGTGTGTCCCATGCAGCCCTCCAGGAAATGACTCCAGACCAAGTTCTGTGTTGAACCTGACTGAAGAGTCACTTAACAAGGTTTTGGCCCCAGATGCTACCATCTGGAGGGGACAGTAGACACTGGAGCTGGGTCAGTACGTGATCAAAGTGGAGGAAGTCCAGGAGACCAGCTGCTGGGGGAGCTAGAGGAGGAAGCAATGCATCATCAGGAGATGGAATACTGCTGGAGTCTGGTCCTCGTTGGCATGGCATGCAGGAGCAGGGAAGGTTTTGTGAGGGAGGCAGAGGCATGGGAGGCGGTGGCAGAGGTGGGTCTCCTCCTCATGGCAGAAGCATCCAGAGCATTCACAATGTTTGTCCATATGAGGAGAGTTAGTGGGGAGAGTCACACCATCAGATCTGGGGGTCAGGATGCACACCCTGGAGGCCACATGGAAGCGGGCCAGGGCCAGGAAACTGCGGCACTGAGGCAGGGTCTGACTCGAGTCACTCTGCTGATCTCATGGAAACACAGAGGAGCCTGGGTGCTTACAACATGGACTCAGGAGCCTGACTGCCCAAGGTCCAAATCCCAGATCTATCCGAGTTCAGAGCCAGATGGAAGAGAGGTGAAAGGTGAAGAATGATGGGAGTAACCCTTTCAGATGGAATCAGCTGATCTTGCTTGCTGAGTTGATTTGGGGTTTCTGGGAGATGGAGAAAGTGTTGAAGGGATCCCTTGGGTATCTGGGTGGCTGAGTGGACGGAGGCACCATTTCCCAAATGGACAAGACATAACCCCCTCTGCACTGGCTCCCGGAGAAGGAGCATGACTGGACCAGCCCTCTCGAGTGGCTCCAAGTTGAATAGAATCAGGTGTATTTGAACCTCAGATTGGTATGTGTATTTTGCTGCAGGAAGTCATTATGTCTCACCTCTCTTTCCTTCCGTCAGCATATTGAACCGCACCCCTCTGCACCTGATCCAGGAGATCATTCTCGTGGATGACTTCAGCAATGACCGTGAGTAACATCTCTCACTGGCTCCGAAGGTGCAGGTGTCTGCATGGTAGCCTATACACCTGGGAATGTTGTGGGTATTTGCACATGCCTATACATGCATGTGTGTGCCTGTAGACATTGTATATGTGAGTGTGTGTACATACATGTAAGACTGCACAAGTGTTACTGCTGAAAAGGGACACCACACCTTGGACAGGTCAATGCTGGGACCCGAAGCCCAGAAACAACCCCATCCATAGACATTCTTGATTCTCCAGCCATGTTAACCTGTTGGCCTGAACTGAGACTAATTTGTCTTTGTCCCTGAGAAATCTGTGCAGGCCTTGTCTTGGGAATTTCCCATGTGGCCATGACACAGTGAGCAGCTTCCAGCCCTTGAACACACTGCTCATCTCCATTTCCTGCCTCACGTTCTTCTGGTTGTCCTAGCAAAGTGCCTGGTGCCAGCCAAACTCACACCTCAAATCCTCTTTCCCGGGGGAAGCATAGGGAGGTCTGTAGACATCCATGTTTTGGGGTTAGAAGGCACAGTAATTAAAGCAGCGTTGTTGAAGTTCCAAGTGTAGGTGGTGCCCACACATCCTGAGCCCAAGTGTAGCTCCTAGGCAGAACTGCCTCCCCTGGTGACATACTTGGGAAACAGGGTGACCGCTATGGGCAGCACAGAATCTTGAGGGCCTGGAGACCCTTCCCACTAGCACAATTTCTGGGAGCCGGGCACAGGGAGCCACTCTGCACTTGTACCTAATGTGCAACTTCTAGAACTCAGGGGAGTTTTGCAATGTGTGTTATACATGAGGCCCGAGGGAGTGAAATCCAACTCCCGGTTCCAGGATCGATAAACCGCTCTCTCTTCCCCCATGAAGAAACACTTGGAAGTAGGGAGATGCTAGCCTTGCTGCGGTAGCCAGGCACCAAGGCAGAAGGGCCGGCTACTAGACTCCTATTAAAGCTGAGAAGCCCGATGGTTTGGAGTGTGGACTTAGGATCCAGTCTGCTGAGGTTCCCGTCTTGTGCTTGAAGCATATATCCTAGCTGCATGCCTCAAGCCAATCACTGGTCTGGTTCCTTGTCTGCAAAATGGAGGTGCTAACAGTGGATTGGACTGAGGAAAGGATTAAGTGTGTTAACATATCTAAGAACAACTTAGAACAGTGCTAACCCAAGGAAGCCTGCCTACATTTCTCCTGCTACTCTTGAAAGTCCAAAATCAAGCCAAGGTTCACAGACTGAAAGTGAAAATGAAATAAGGCCCAAAGTGTCGAGTCCCAAGCCAGGGACCTGATGAATCCAGGAACTGATGCCACAACAACAAGCCCAGGGACATTCAGGACAGGTGCCCAGCTGGCATTCTCACCCTCCCTGACATGGTGCTTCACAGTGAGGAGGCCAACCCTGCCCTGTATAGTGAAAAGCATCCTGGGCAGAACAGTCCACGAAGAAAATCCCAAGTCTGCCTGATCGGTTCCCCACCTCCCAAGCTCCCAGAGCTCCCACAGCTGTGCCAGACCGCCAAAGGGAACTGGACCCTAGTCTCCTGCTTTTAGTGACCTATAGCTGAGGAGAAACATCCCCAGGAGCCTCACCAAGGTTTCCAACCAGAATGATTTCAAGCAATATGCAGTTCCCACTGGATATGGCCCCATTGCGCTGAAGGGCCCAGTTGGGGCCATTCTGTTTGATGGGGACAGCCATGTGTGAGGACAGCAGTGATCCACTGTCCCTTGCACTGCCCAAGAGCACCTGTGCATGAGACCCTGGCTCTGTAGTTGGACTTGGAATGGAAACCTGAGCAGGCTGCCTAAAACTCATTAAGTTTTAATCTTGTGTCTCCACAGCTGAGGACTGCAGCCAGCTGGTCAAGTTGCCCAAGGTGAAATGCTTACGCAACAATGAGAGGCAAGGTGGGTCTGGGCTGCTGGGCAGGCGCTCAGATGTAAGTGGGGGGAGGGGTCAGGATATGCCATGCATATGTTTGTAGGGGGAAGGCAGTTGGGTGGGGGGCTTGCTGGAGTGTGACCTGCTCCATTATGTGCACCTGCCTGCAGGTCTAGTCCGGTCCCGGATTCGGGGTGCTGATATCGCCCAGGGGACTACCCTAACTTTCCTGGACAGCCACTGTGAGGTGAACAGGGACTGGCTGCAGCCCCTGTTGCACAGGATCAAGGAGGTGAGTGAGGCCAAGGAACAGAGCAGGATGCCTGACCCCCGCCACCTGCTTCCCCCAATTCACTGGAGCTCCTTACTTTACAGGTGTTCCCTAGGTGCTGGGTACAGATTGGTGGGATGGATGCCTGGGCCTGTTTTGCAGATGAGAGAGCTAAAGTGGGGAGACAATTCCAAGGTCATGGGGCAGGGCCAGGAGCTACCTGTTGAATCTGTCACCCACAGGGGGTGGGAGGGGCCTACAAGTGACAAGTGAGAAACTGCTCAGGTATGTTTTTACCAGACCACAGAAGGTTCCAGAAATGAGACCCTCATGCGTGTCTTCATTGGGCTGTTATTTCTGGAGCTGTTATTCCAAGGCCTATCTAGGAAGTAGGAGGCAAGTATTTTTAACATTTCTGAGCAAAGTCTCCAGAGAATTCTGGAACTTGGTCTGAGAGTTGTTAGTTGGAATTCCTGGGCCAGCACCCTTAATGTCACTATGGTAGCACCTTCAGAAGCTGAGCATGTTTCCTGTTCACTCTCCCAGTTGCTTCCTGATTCCTGCCTGTATCAGGTGACAGCTTAGGAGCATTAGAAAACTGAACTGTGTACGCAGCATGGAAGGGAACCAGGTGCTCCTCACGCAGCATCTTGGGGCAGCAAGCAAGTACCTGTGGGCTTATAGCATGCTCACGCAGGGGCTGAGATGTATCATCCCACTGGGGACCATTTCACCTGAGATAGGGCAGCTCACCAACTTGGCACTATTTACCTTCTCGGTGAGGTTGTGCAGAGGGTGGTGGGTAGGGAATCTGCCTGGCGTCAGGGGAGGGGCTTTACTTAGCAAGGAGACTGCACCCTACGCATTCTCCTAAGGTGCTCAGGCCCCATGCCCCTGCCCAGCCTAGCATCCTGACAAAGCTGGCTGCCCCTTGCCCCTGACTCTGACCAGGTGCATTTGCCCTTGACGGCATTTCCTCGTCCTCACAAACCCACTCCCTCCTCTTCAGGGCAATCTCCCAAGTCTCACCTCCTCAGGAAGGCTTTCCTGACTGCACCACCAGCTGGGATCACTCCTGTTGGTAGCTACTGCCTGGACACTCCCCATTTTCTAGGTTTGGTTCTGTGTGTCCCACCCCCCATTCCTATAAAATCCACGCAGGGATACTCATGGCTCTTTTGTAGCCTCCTACTTGATGAAGAGTAGGTGCTTAGTGCTTGGAAAGGAGGCCAACTGCACTGGGGAGGTGATAAAGTGGGGAGTTGGGAGGGAAGCAGGCTCCTTCCCTGCCCCTGCGGTAATTCATGGACACACATTGAACATCTAATTTGAGCAGTACCGGGATTGGAAAAGAACCCTGCTGAAGGAGGCAGCCCTTGAGAACTTAACCTACCACTTAGCCAGCCCACCAGAGCCCATGTAGCACCGGCCCTGTGCCCATCTGCCTGTGACCCACAGGGAAGGGGTGTTCAGGAGGCGAGTTCAGGGAGAAGCGGCATGGAAAGTCTGCTCATGAGGAGTCTCTGGGAGAAAGGAACGGGGAACACATTTGGGCAGCTCTGTGCATCCATGCATGTGAGCTGTGGGCTCTGCCCTGCAGCCTATACTGCCACCACTGTGCCTGGGGATGAAGAGAAGCTGGAGGGCCGAGGCCCAACAGTAGCAGAAGGCGAGGGAGGCAGAATTAGAGGCAAGGCAGAAGGAGCTGGAGTTCTTTGATGCGCAGAGAGAAGTGGCGTTGGAGGTCGTGGTTCTTGTTTTTAGATATTTCCTATGGCAGAGGTAAGGCGTTCGCTGCTTACTGGGGCCAGGAAAGTTTGTGATGGTAAACCTTTTGGCAAAGGAGCAGGGGACAGAGAAAGCGGCCTATCCCTTCTCCGCCACAGAAGTCCCTGGCCATGGAGACAAGGCCGGCGCAGACATTTAGGAAGACACGCAAGAGTGCAATGAAAACTAATTGCCCAGATTACTGCCAAGGGAACTCAACCTCTGTTCACATGTCTTGCTGTTACAGCTCTTTTTCATTGCCAAGGGTGCCTTTTTCACAGTTGTAATCAGTCTGTGGTTAACATAACTTTGTATTCTGCTTTGTTTCCTTAAGATCCTGCCTAGACATTTCCCAAGCCATGATTCTAGGCTCATTTGCCCTTGGCCCACAACAGCAGGTGTGTGGCTTTGTACACTGATTGGCAGGAGTTCTTCTCCAAGCAAGGAGGGAAGGTCATGGTCTCAGGCACACTCCTCTTCCTGCCCTACCTCACAGGGACCTCCTGCCCCTGCCTAGCCCCCTACCTGGCCAGGGCCCCAGGAGCTGAAGTTCATGTACCAGTTTCTCATCTGATGTTGGGGACTACCAGGCTAGGGTGTGGTCAGGACTCCAACCTGGTCCTAGCCACCAGCCACCCAGAGCTGTGCCTGGCCTCTTTGGGGGCAGCCAGCAGAGCAGTGGACTGCCCCAGGACCCTTGCTCCTGAGCTGACTCTATGTGTATTGTAAAATCCATTCAACAGGACTTACCATTTTAACCATGTGGAAGTGCGCAATGCAAAGATTTTCATACCTTCCCAGGGCTGTGTAACTCTTGCCACGATCTCCTTGGGTAGCATTTCTTCTCCCCCAAAGGAAAGCCCACACGTGTAGTGGTCACCCTTCATTCCCTCTCTTTCCCCGCCCCTGACAGCCACACATTTGCTCTGACCCTACGGATTTGCCTCTTCTGTATGTTTTATAGTAATGGAGCCATCCAACACATGATCCTTTGACTCTGGCTTCTTTCACTTGATGTATGTTTTTAGCTTCATCCACATGATAGCAAGTACCAGGATTCGTTTTCTTGGCCAAGTAATATTCCCATGTGCTTTATCTATTCTTCCATGGATGGGCATTTGGGTTGTCTCTACATGCTGTTGTTTTTTTACTAGTGTGGTGTCTTATTGCAGACACTTTCATACAGGTTGTAGTTTGAGGACCTGCTTTGTATTCTTTGGTGTATACCTTAACTGCTAGTGTTGCTGGATCCCCTTAGTAATGTCTCTGTACTACTGGAATCCCCAGCTAGACTTGAATCCTGGGAGATGTGTTGAGCAAGTCATGATCTCTTTGGACAACTTGCATGAACCTGCAGAGCCCTTCCCAGCCCAGGAGCCTTTAAGAAGACAGCCTTTTCTGTAGCCACAGCTTCCCTGACCTGCGTGGCAGGTGAAACCTTGGTGCCCCAGCGTGAGGCTGCCCACACCTGTCTGCCTCCCTTGGGGGGAGCTCTACTTAGAGTCATTTGGCCCCAAGATGGGGCTCAGCCTCCCAAGCTTCCCTCCCTGGTACTCACCACTGTGTGAGTCCAAGATTTCATAGCAAAAAGAGATGAGCCAGACATGCCCCAGAGCTGGGTGTGGCTCTGCCCCTCACTGGACTGTGGAGGCTAGGAGGGAGACCCCTAAGTCTGAGCCGACGTGGAAAGGTGGCTCACGCACACATGCCTCTGGGAGTGTGGGGGCACGTGTCAGCCCGTGTTTCTGCATGTCATTGCATGTGTCTTGTCCCCCAAGTTGAGCATGATGTGATCTTGCAAGTAGAAATGGAAATGTTAAGCTGTAATTGGAATTTGGGGTTTTTCAAAAATAGAAAAAGATAAGAAAGAGGCTGGCTGGAGCTGTCATGAGCTGTCCTCAGCTGGTGTGTTCCCCATTGAAAGCTGCCCCAATTCTCTTCCCTCAATTACCTGATGCTACTTGAGACAAGCACTGAATTATTTTTTTTTAAACATAGGTCTCTCTCTCTCTCTTTTTTTTTTCCTTCCTCGTAATCTGTGAATTTCTCTAGTAAGAAAAAGATTTTTGGAAATCTTGATCACTGCAGCTTTCAGTAAGTTTATAGGAAGAATAGCTTACATGATCTGCAATGCCTCCTTACATACTGTCCCCCTTGTTCCCCATAAAAGCCCTGTTCAGAAGGCAGACCTGGGGCAGGCACTGTGGCTTCCCACATCAGAGTTCTCGTTCAAGTCTTGGCTTTTCCACCTCTAAACAACCTCATTGCTGATGTGCCTGAAAAGGCATTGGAAGATGTCCCAAGTACACAAGCCCCTGCCACCCATGTATGAGATCCAAGTGGAGCTCTGAGCTCCCGACTTGAGCTTAGCCCAAACCTGGCCTTTACAGCCGTCTGGGGAGTGAACCAACACTGGGGAAGAGCGATATGTCTCTCTCTACCTCCATCCTCCTTTGTCTCTGCCTTTCAAGTAAAGTGAATGTTTTTGTAAAGGCAGATTGTTTTGTGTATAATCATCTGTCTTCACCTTCTGGATGAAGAAACAGTCCAATGGACACGTATTGGTTTAAGATCACACATGTTGTCACTGCTCAGCCTTTTCGTCAAGATCAAGTCTGGATCACTCATGTTGAAGATGGCAGGACCAAACTGGGAATCCAGGTGTCCCGCCAATGTGTCCCTGTCTCAATGTCACTTCCTTGAGGACTCCCCCCTCCACAGCCCTCCCTCCAGGCCAGCTTAGAAGCTGTCTGCATCTGCATTGGAGTTACCTACTCCGCTGCTGTCACCTTCCTCAACTGTGAGTTCTTATTCCTAAAGCATAATAGGTTGTCAGGAATCCTGGGTGGTGGATGACCCAAGGGAGCTTCCCCAGAAGTTTTGGGTTGGCCCACTCCTAGTGTGGTTTTGATGGCATGAATGATTTGTTGGAAAAACTAGAGGTGGGATGGCAGGGATGATTGACAGCCTTTGGCTGGCACCTGCAATCTCTGTTGTGGCTCCTAGTAAAGGCTGGGCTAGGGAGAGTACAAGCTTGGAATTGAGGAAGGTGGGAAAAAGGGGGTGGAGTCCAGGATCTGCTGGGACTCTACTTGCTGCTAGTTGAGCCTCAGTGTGGCCCTTAGCTGCAAAGATGCATGTTGTGGGACCTGCAGCAGGGACTTTTAATGGATCTTCTGTTTCACTGGGAGTCTCTCAATCCTTGAGCCTCCAGCTCACCTGCAGTTAACTAGCCTTCTCATCACCAATGCCAATACAGTGTCCTCAGAGGGAGTTAAACAGATGTCCTATTTTAGCCAGTGCTGATGGAACACCTGCTACCCAGCAGGCTCTGGATGGGGTTGGGGTTGTGGGACAGAAACTGACCCCCCAGATCCCTCAAAGAGGCTGTGTCTTGGCTTTGATGGCTCATGTATAAACTCTCCCACAGATCCCGTTCAAGGTCAAGCTAGCACACAGCTCTTAACCCCAAACAGCCCTTGCTTGTCTGGTATCTGTGGCTCCAGCTGTGCAGATGCCACCTTTGAACTGTAGCAGGACTAGAGGAAAGGACAGAAATCCCCAGATTCTGGTGCAGTCCTCTCAGTAGTCTGTTATTGCTAAGCAAGGGTGTGTGGCAACACACTGAGGGTGTCACCAACACGAAGGCTTGCCCACACCTTGTTATTCGAAGCTGGTCACATGGCCACAGCTGACTACCCTCATGGACCCTCATGCCCCTCCAGAGGTCAAGTTGAGTTGACTCCGCATAGCCTCTCAGGTATAAGCCAAGGCACCCAGGTCAGCAAGGATACTCTTTTAGGCATTCCAAGGACTCAGCTTGCCTCCCAGCAGCTTGACAAGGGGCTGAGCATCTTTGGGCAAGATCACCTTTTATTGCAGAGATCCACAGGAGGACCTGGTACCACTGCAGATGCTCCCAGCTTGGCAAAGACTGTAATCCTCTGTAATTCTCTCCAAAGAAAAGACCTCTGGTTTCCTAGGCAAAGCAGAAGCAATGAGAGCATCCCTGTGAGCATGTGCGTGTGCACACGCACACTAGTGTGCATTGTGTGTCAACAGACACCCCATGTCAGCAACCTGGGAAGACCCCCAGAGGAGCTGTGACAGCTGGGCAGGTGCAGTGTGACAGCAAAAGAAAGCTGTGATGCTTCGGTGGCAAGAGCCATGCCTTGGAAATGAGCATTGCTTTCCTTGTGGCTTGGTTGGTTTTCAGAGACGCGTCTTGCTGTCAGAATGAATTGCACGTGGGAGGCAGAGGGCCACATTAAGTCTGTGTACTTAAAATCGGCACTCGGTGAATCTGGAGCTTCAAATAAGAAGACAGCCTCATCCAGGGGGGAAAGATAGAACCTGGTAATGGAATGACTTCAAAGAGAGCAGAGAGATTCCCACTGATACAGCTGATGGGTGGGTGGCTGGTTGGTGCAAAGAACTGAAGGAAGAGCCATGCCTTCTGGCTGCCAGTGCCCTGAGGGCCCCCTGGGCTGCTGGACCTGTAGCCAGCTCACCACAAGTGTCTGGGTGTCCACCCATTTCATTTACGGTGCTGTGGGCAGCCAGTTTTTCTGCCTGGTACAGAGGTGCTCACGCAAGGTTGGGAAATTTTAAAAAAGCAAATGGTATGTGCATTGTCCTGGTCCCTGAGAACTGGAGACTTCAGTTTACATATTTTGAAAAATGTTCCCTGGGTGATTTTTGTGGTTTGAGCTAGTGTGGTTTGGGGGAGCAGCAAGTGGTGAGGAAAGCTGTATGCGGTCCTCTTTCAGGCTGGTTTTTTTTTTCATCAGCACATGGTGATTGTGCATATTCATGGGCATTGTGCGAGCTTTCAATACATGTATACAATGTGTAATGATCAAGTCAGGACAATTAGCACATCCATCATCTCAAGCATTTTTCAAGTCTTTGTATTTGGAAGCATTCAAAATCCTCTCGCTGTGTTGGAATATATAATAGAGTATTGGAAAGCCTATGCAGCCTACCATGTGAGCCACAGAACATGAGGCGTCATTCATCCATCCTTACTATTCTGGGACCTGTTATCCGGGCTCCCTCTGCCTGCCTTCTGCCTCCCCATCAGGCCTACAGTGACGGCTATCCTGCTGGGACAGACACTGCATGTTCTCACTCCTAGGTGGAAGTGAGGCTGTTTTTGAATATTTGGGATGTCATGCCAAGGAGTTTGTTTGTTATCTTAGAGGCAGTTTCAGTTTTCAGCTCTTGAGTGGCAGGGTCATTTTGCACATGGGAAAGAGGTGTGACAGCTCCATGTAGGACAAAGTGGGAAGAGAGTGGGGTGGAGTGGAGTTTAGGGGTCCAATGCCATGCCCCAAGTATGAGAAAGGGCAGGAAATGCAGGTGAATTCAAGCAGGACATCTTAGAGACCACAGAGCTAGATCCAGTTGATGGGCAGAATGAAGCTTCTAAGATTAATGTTGAAACTTAGTTTTGTCTCTCTATGTGTGTGGCGGGGGGAGGGTATGTGGCGAGCTGTTAACAGAAATAAAGAAGGAATGTGTATGGGGAGAAGCTGTTGGAGCCACCCTTGAGAATGCCGAGTGAAATGCCATGTGGGGGTGGGTGGTGCCGTATTGGATCCCAAGTTGGAAGCGAGGATGGATGTTGGTTGGGCTGGAGGCACAGGTGCATCTGTCCACCCGTTAGAGCTCTCCAGAGTTGCTAGCAGAAGCTGTGGGTGTGGAATGAGCTCAGAAAGCCCCACTGTTGGGGTGGGGTGCTGCCCGAGACTGCAGCCTGGGGTCACCTTTCCAGCTAACTGCTTGGCCTTGTGGAGCCTCACTGACATCTGCCTCCCTTTCCTCCCTTGGTTCTCTTCCCTTGGTCCAGCCACCAGCCTCTGCCAGTTTCCCCACAGTCCGTGCTCAGGCACCTCCAGCCACCCAGGAAAGACTCCACAGCATCACATACATTTAAACCTGAGATGTCCCAACTGTCACGGCTCCTTGTTCAATAGAATGAAGAGCCAAAGGGGGAAAGTGACCAGTCATTGCCACAAAGCCCATCTCTGGCACTACCAGATTCCCCATGCACACTGAGCCAGCACCTGCTGTTTTACATACAGGACTACACACGTGTCGTATGCCCCGTGATCGACATCATCAACCTGGATACCTTCAACTACATCGAGTCGGCCTCGGAGCTCCGAGGGGGTGAGTAGAGCTCATGCCTTCTCTTCTTCCCAGGAAGGCCTTTCTTCCTCTTAGTCATTGCTGCAACTAGGGTGGGGGGCGAGGGAAATTCTCTTGAGTGGTTTTTCTGATAATCTGGTCCTGTGTTTTCCGTGGGGGAAGCTGCCCATCCTCATGCACGTCTCTCTGCCTGGCTCCAGAAGGTTCTAAGCTTCTCTGGGATTGGGTGTCATTTAGGAGTGATGGAAAAGATCTAGGGCTGTAACTGACATTTAGGAGAAGGTTGGAGGGCTTGCCTGGCTGCATTAGCTCAACACTCATGAGGTCGGTGACATACCCCTAAAAGGAGGGGTCAGCAGTAGCATGCTGTGTTTGGATCACACATTAGGAACTGATGTTTAAAGCATATGACTCTTACATGGCCAAGGCTTCAGTATTGACCAGCATCAACAGCCAAGTTAAGGTTCTTAGGCCTGAGGGTTGAGGAGATCTGAACTTTTGCAAAATCCTTGGCTCTGGTGGAGATGCCCACATCAAATCGCACACCTGTTGTGTAATATACTCCAACTTGGCCCTTACCACTGGGACTGTGGTTAAGGGGGTATCCCCAGACCTCCAGCTCTAGACATGGCTTACCAAGACCAGAGACTGTAAGGGTTTCCCAGGTATGTGGGACCCCTTGGGCTCTGCTACCTCCCATGGAGATCTTCTATCATATCACCCCCTCCTCATGGAGACCTGCCATAGCTCTCTGTCCAGGGCCCAGTGTTAACCCCGGGCCCTGAGAGATTTAAGTAAGCTGGAGACCTTTCCCAAACTTCCTGCTTACACCTTCCTAGGGTTCAAGGCCAAGGATCACATTCCATAACTGCCCATCAGTTCTGCCAGGGTCTCTCTGTCCTTCATTTCCTGAGGCCACCCAATAGAGAGGCAGCAGCTGTCAGCCCAGCAGGACCTCCTTGCTGTCCTAGGACACCAGCTTTCCCAGGACCCGGTACATCCCTGAACTTTTGGAAAAGGTGCAGCATGGGCAAGCTTCCCAGGTACTTTGAGAGAGCACATCACCCAGGCTGCTATATTTCAGGGTTTGACTGGAGCCTCCACTTCCAATGGGAGCAGCTCTCCCCAGAGCAGAAGGCTCGGCGCCTGGACCCTACCGAGCCCATTCGGTAAGTAGGAGGGGCCAGAGTAAGGGGGCGGTGAGCAAGTGCATCATTTTGCCCTTGCTGCTTCATGGGGAATAGGCACATCAGCTGCTTCACAGATTGGGAAGAGGTGAACAGAGCCTCGTGCCAGGTCACCTTCACTCCTGCCCTGATCTTTAGCAGTTTCTGTCCTCCTGGAGACTTTTACCTAAGAGGTTGGGGGCCTGGTGGAAACCTGAGCTGCAGAATAAGCACCCAGTGTCGTTGGCTGTCACACACGCTGTGATGCTCTTCTGCTTTCTGCTAATGCTACAGTCCAAGAGGGTCCCTTTAAGCACTCTGGTGGGGGAGGCAATGGTCTTTGGGGACCAGGAGCTCCTGAGTCTAGGCTGTCAGAGTTCAGTTCAGAGAGGTGGAGGGGAGGTTGTTAGTGCTGTCACTGGGTGCTGATATGAAAGCATGGGGCCACTGCTGTCCCATTAAGCCATCCTATCTCCAATGTGTAAGAATGTATGTGTAGTGTGAGCTGTGGACTGCCATGCCATGGATGGCCTTGTCCTCATCCACACTCTGTAGTTAAGGTCCCATTGTGTCCCATTGTAGGTGGTGGCAGGCTGTGACCTAGTTCTAGTTTCAGCTGAGGTTTAGTGTAGCATAGAGAACATAGGGACCCTTAATCAAGAGAGAACGGCCTTGATATTGTGTCTCAAACTGGAGAGAGCATCACAGGTCCCTTGGGAATCTCCAAGCTAAAATACTTCTTTCCTCAGGAGAGAATGTTATTGTGGTGGTGACAAGGGGAGGGGAATGGCAAGAGGATTGGAAGCACCTGAAGAACTGCAGGGAAGGCCGTTGACCTGGGCAACCTTCGCCCTGTGACTGCCCTGCCCTGCATCTGTGCCTGCTCTGTGGAACATGCGCCATCGTTTTTGGTTGAAGTCCCTTAAGTCAGATGGAGACCCAAAGGGAATGGGGTGAGACCCAGGGCACAAGCTAGTGTTCCCCAGGACAGGAGCTGGGGAAACCCTGCAGGCCGTCCAAGCAGGTCCTGAGTGAGTTCTAGCATCTGTGGTGATGAGGAGCAAGTTTGCCCATCTGCAAGGTCAGGTTCATAATGCATTGAAAATTCCTGGAGCAGAGTTTTACTTTAGGTCACTGGGAAATGTGCTGGCCCCTCTGAAGAGGACAGGAACAGGAAGGCAGTGACCCTGAGGTCTGGGCTTTGGGGCAGAGCGGTTTGAGAGTGATCATCTTCCGTAAGTGAATCCCTCCCTTCCTTGCTCCCAAACACACAGGACCCCAGTCATAGCTGGAGGGCTCTTCGTGATCGACAAAGCCTGGTTCGATTACCTGGGGAAATATGATGTAGACATGGACATCTGGGGTGGAGAGAACTTCGGTGAGTCCCCGTCTCATGCATCCTCATGGGAATCTCTGTGTCATTGGCCCCAATGGGGAAGAGCTGCAAAGTCGCAGGTGCCAGGGAGGGGGTGAGTAAATCACTCCTTTGCGGCAAGGCTGAGTGGGGTGCCCAAGCAACCGTTGTTAGCAAGGCAGTGTCAGCATGGAGCTGCATGGAGACTGAGGTCCTGGGGAGTTTTGTGCCCAAACAGATTGTTAGGACCAGAGGGACATAGATCTGCTAGGAAGACCAAGTAGGAACTCCAAACCTGGGTCGCTTGGTGTGATCAAACCTTGAACTTTGGAATCTGGATCTGGAAGAAGACTGCAAAGAGAGACTGAGGAAGGTCAATGGTGTGTGTTATATCCACTAATATCCTCAGGTGGCTGTGAGGAGGACTGTTGATCCTGAGTTAATGAGCTGTCTGTGTTAACTGCTGTGGAAAACCTAACCGTAACCCTGCCCTTGTCTTCCAGTGGAACAAGAACTTGTTGAGGGAAAGGGCTCATTACAGGGTCACCTCCATGCCAGCAGGTGGATGCTGAGCCTGGCCACTGTGCTGCAGGCCTGGGGTTTAGGAAATGTTGGAAAGCCAGTGGCATTAAGTGACACTTGCCATCTCCTTTTCAGGGGAACAGTGTCATTTTTGGGATGGCAACCTCCTTGTACTGGCCTTGCAGTCTGTTGAGATGAGTGTGCAAAATCTTGGCCCTCTGTGGGGTGCTTGGACTGAGTTTACAGGCAACAGGTTGGACCTCAGAAAGCCACAGCATGTAGACTGTGCCAGGGCAGGGAGAGTAGTCTGCTTTGTCCTCAGAGCTCAGCATGTGTAGTGCCCTTAGTGGCACTCTGGAATGAATAGATGGTGGTAGACTAAGAGGGAGCATCCCATAGTCCCTGCCTTCCCCTCCCTGGGCACCCGGGAGGGTGTACAATGTGGGCTCCCTGCACTGTGATTGGGCCAGCTCAGTGACCCCTGGGGCTCCTATAGGCATTCAGCTGTGATCCCCAGCATGGGTGCCATCAGCATTTTCTCCCATTCCTGCTTTAACATGCTTTATGGCTTTCTTCATCAATCACTAAGAATTATTTCCTGGACATCTACTGCTTCTGTCCCAACCATAGCATCTGTTCATCCAAACCGGGCCCTGTAGAAAAATCCATCAGAAAAGTCCTGCCCTGTGGGGACCAGACTGGAAGCTCAGTAAACTAAACAGAAACCCGGCCCCAGGAGCCCATCCACCAGGGCCTCATGGAACATGACAGGAGATCATTAGTGTGGGGTTCAAGACCACACCTGCCTGCACCTGCCCAGGTGGATTCAAGCTAGGTAAACCCTCACATTCTCCATGGAGCAAGGAGTGCTGTCTTGTTGGACAGAGCCGATGTCACCGCACCCCTGGCAGGTGGCTGATGGAGCCTCAGTGCAGCAATTTAATGGACAGCAGTCATCTAGTCTCTTCCCAGATCAATGCATTCACCATTCCACAGCTCAACATGGGCACTGGTTGAGAATATTTTTGTGATAATGTGCTTTGCGTGCATGCGTGTGTGCGTGTGTGTGTGTGTTTAACAAACTGCTTCAAGAAATTTATGAATACATTAGCTGCTCAGGGTCACTGTAAATGTGTGATAGTTACTACAACAGAATTCTCATGTTAATGTGATGTAAAGTAATACAGAGAGAACAGATTCAACATAGTCCACAGAAGCAATTCTAAGAATGCAACGTTGCTTCTATCATTCACCCACTCTCTTTTTCTATTTTTCTTTCATTTTTGAGGTAACATTACAGACCACGGCTTACTGCTCTACTGAATAGAGTTCAACCAGTAAAAAGTAAAAACATAAAAAAAGACCAGTTCAATGGGAGTATAAGTGAGAGCTGTAAATAATAAGCAAATGAAAAGATGTCCATTTCACTCATATATAATACGTTTTAGGAATACCTGATCTTTAAAGCTATAGTAATATGTCATTCTTAATCACAGGTTTAACAAAGGTAAAACAAAGTTTCACAAAGCTTTATTTGCAGCAGGATTGACACACAGAGACATTTCTTTTAAAAATTTATTGTGTTGATTTTTTTCATTTTCACTATTGGACAGCTTTTTGGTGGAATTGTGAGGACACTGCTGCAGGCTGGATGCTGGCTTTAGTCTGCCCTCCCGTGCCTTCACAACAGCAGTTCCATGTGGACTGAGGCAATGTGTCAGCCACAACCACAGAACATTTTGGTCCAGCCTACCTGTAGCTTTCCCTTACAGTGATGTTAACACCCACCCGCCCAGGTCAAGTAGCCATCACATCTTGCCTACCTCATGTCCTTTGTGGGGACACAGACTAATTTGAGTAGAAAAGGGAGAGAGATGGGAAAGGCACCTGACAATCCATCCCACTGTATCCTAAGCCACAGGAAAGCACCAGAGGTAGCTGCCACAAGGACCTCGTTCTTTTCTTCCATCCCAGTCTTCCATTGTATTACAGCGTGCCATAGCACTTGCAAAGCTGTTTCTGAATTTGTTTTTCTTAAGCACTGGCTATGCCAGGGAATGTAGTGCCTTTTCCATGATGGATGCATCTGTCCCAGGAATACTGTCCCATCTGTGGCTGGTGATGAATCACAGGGCAATGAGCAGGTGAAAGTGGGAATTGGAAAAGGGGGCTGGCTGGAGTGTGTGAGTGTCAATTCAGCTGCAAGGGACAAACGAGGCAAGGGGGTAACAGAGGTAGCCTGTCAGTGCAAGAATCCTAGATCAGGGGTGTGGCAGTAAAGAGCCTGCCTGCATCACTGTGTCCTGCAGCTGTGACAACTCCCCCTGGTGTCACAAGTATTACCTTCTCCTGTCCCTACCAATTCCCTCCACATTAGTTCAACTCATCTTGAGGCTGCCCCTTCTGCCCATTCCTGCCCAAGAGTTCTTTCTGAAATGCCAGCCTCCTACTCCTCCTCGACCTGGATCCCCAGCAGCGACCCTTGTGTCCTAAGCCGGAGGCCCACAGTACTCAACTTGACCCCTGCCCAGGTCCTGCCTCAGCTGCCCATCCTGCCTCCCAGGGGCCTCTCACACTTCCCAGAATGTGCCCTCCCATGTGTCCCAGATGCTGGTTGCACTGTGCAGGCAACTCTGGGAAAAGGACACCTTTCCCATCTCCCTCTCGCCCACACCTCCCTCACTCCATGCCATGCAGCTGATGGCCCTCCTCTGACACTGTGCTGAGCCCTCTTCTGTATTTGTTTATCCATCGGTACCTGCTGGACTGCGTTGCCTCCTGCTAAACCTGCAGCTCCTTAGAGGCACTGCCAGATCTCATTCTTGGGGCCCAGAACAATAGCAACTTGGCGCTCAACACTGAGGAAGACACTGAGCAGGGCAGGGACTCAGCCAGAGACAGGCAGCCCTGGCTGTACACAGGGGGTCAGACCCAAGACCCCCATATACAACAAGCTCTACAGGTGCTCCAGTTCCTTATGTAAAATGGCATGGTGTCTAAATAGAGCCTTGTACATCCTCCTGTGCCCTGTAAATCATCTCTGGGTTATTAGGATTCAGCATAAGCACTACATGAATGACTGTGTCGTACTGTTTAGGCAATAATGACAAGCAAATTAAAAAGCTACACATGTTCAGTACAGACAGAGTTTTTTAAGAATTATTTCAATCCCTAGTTGGTTGAATCCATGGATACAGAGGGCTGACCTTACATGAGACTTTTCTGAATGGATGTTATTTCATGTTTAAGGGTTCCTTTTAAACTTGAGATTAATTCTACTTTCTGAGAAGTAGATAGAGTTTCTCTGTGTTCTAGATGTGTGTGAATGTGTGTTATGTTGACTTTGTTTCATAGCACAGGGACAGGTGCTTGGCTTAGTGGATTAGAGGCAAGATGGGATTGCTAGGCCTCAGATCCTGGGCTCCTGTTCCAGCTCCTCTCCACTCCTGATTCAGGATTCCTGCTAATGCAGACTCTGGGGATCAGCAGATGACGACTCTAGTCTTGGGTCCCTGCCATCTCAGTGGATTGAGTTCCAGGCTCTTGGCTTCAGATTGGCCCAGCCCTGGCCATTGTGCACATTAGGGGAATGAACCGGTAGACAGAATAATAGGATCTCTTTCTTCTCTCTCTTTTTCCACTTTCTCTTCTCTCCCTTTCCTTTTCTTGTCTCTCAAATAAAAACATAACACAAAAAATTGTTCGCCAGGGCATCCGTGCCAGTGCTCAATGCCACACTGCTCTTGCCCTGCCCCATCTTAGCCTTTATTTGTTAGAAGCAGCTGCTGGTAGCAGTGGGCATGTGAGAGTCATTCCAGGCCTTAGTAGACCACCTCTCCTTCCACCCCCAACACACACACTCATTTTCCTGGCCCTAGTGAGATCATTTCCTTACAGTATTTCTAAGATGAGCTGAATCGCTGTGCTAATTACATCTACAGTTCAGCCCTTGAGCAGGCTTTAGGGAAATATGGCTCTTAGATTTTTTTTTCAGAAGTTAATTTGCATTAAAATTGGATGCTTAAACTCTCATTTACCTAACACAGGATATGTGCAATCTATCTACTTACTTTGAACCACATCTCACTTTTAGCTTTTGATCTTTGCAGAGAAAAGAAAATCTGTTACCCAGTAAAAATTTCTGTGTGTGTGTGTGTATGTGTGTGTAGGTGGTGGGAAGAAGGGATGCATGTTTCCAAAAAAAGGAGGCCTTGGCACACACGTGAAAGGAGAATATGGGAGTCCTGAATTTAGAACTGGGGATTTCCAAAGCACAGCAGGTGCTGAAGTTAGCACTGGAGAGATGAGGTGGTGCTCAGAAATCGTCACACCAATGCCTCTGTGTGTGTGTGTGTGTGTGTGTGTGTGAGAGAGAGAGAGAGAGAGAGAGAGAGAGAGAGAGAGAGAGAGAGACTTGGCAGATGCGATAAGGTCACAATCAATGATTTTCAAAAGATTATGCAGGATTATCCAAACCCATCCAGCCTGGTGATGCAAGCCCT